TCCGATAGGGGATGGCCTCCTCCGATCATTTTGCTCGTTCAAATGGTGTAAAGGCATTTAACCTGTTGCGCAGGGACATATAAGGAAAATCTGCAATATAATACAAAAAATTATTCTGCTGCAATAGACATACTTTTTATCATTGCTAATAGAGGAAGTCCATATCATGTGATTCCTTCAAGGGTTAAATGCGAATGATACCATATGACTGTAATATCACCTGCGACTCTTATAAAGGCACTATTTGTTCAATTTTTCAGCAATAAAACTTAATAGACAGTGTGAATGAGATTTTGTTATCTAATGTTCGAATTAAGGGAATTTCACTCACAGAGGTCATTTTTGTCTTATAATGTTCTAACGATGTCCCGCGCCCACACGATTTGGGCTTTGCTTGACTTGTCTTCATATTTGCTTGTCGTCGTGTGACTACATTTATTAGATGAATATTCGCCCAAAAATTCTATCCCCAGACAAGGCAATTAGGTCCCCGGGAGCCTTAGCCAGGTTCATTGAAGTATTTCCCTAATCTTATAGTGGCTGGCAGCGCTTAATTGCCTTTGCACATGACAATTGTATTTCATTAGTGGAACCTAGGTCGATTGCAGTAAGGGATACTTTAAAAATAGCTTCCTTTTAAGATTGTTCAATCGCTCAATCTTCATTCAGCAACTGTCACACAAGTAAGTTGCAGAACTCCCACTTATGCCAAATTAGTCGTAAACTTCATCTCATCTGTCCTCACACTGCTTCTATTTCAACTAGCCATGGGGTTGTCACTTTTATTTACCATTGTTTTGAAGATGTTATTTAGCCTTATTTTCCCCCCTCTGTAGCTAGTTTGGGCTCCAGAAAATTATTATCATGATTCAAAAAATCCCTACACTCACAGACTTGCAAGTGCAGACGCATCTGGTCGGATCGTAATATGGGACGTTGCTTCCGCTACTCCCTTGGCTGAAGCATCTGAAAACGATAGTAGCGTCTGTGGTTTGTCTCCCTTTCTACACGCTCATTTTTAGGTATGCATTGGATTTCTGATCAGGATATATCCCGTGATCTCCTACTTATTCTTCACACCGAGAATAAGCTTGTTTTATGGAATGCTCAAACTTGCACTCCTTTGTGGAAGAAGAATTATTCTTACAGCATCAATTCAATGGCGTTCGACCCATTTTCCTCACATAATATAATTCGTGGGTTTATTTCACTGCCATCTGCATTCGTTTAGTTCAAGGACCAAATCAATTTATTGTGGTAAATGATTTATCCTGGAACTCGTCTCCGGAGACTTCTGGAAAGCAGATTCTTGTGTCTGATATTGGTAATTTATTTAATTATTCTTTTATATTGCCAGGTCATTCCAATGACGCCAGTGAAATTGACGCTGCCGGGAAGCGATTTTCTCAGACAATTAAAGCGACAGCCAAAGCCGTCATCGCCAAAAGTTTTTTTCGATTGTCAACTTTACAAAAGTATGTGGATGATATTCAGATCACTTGCCCATATCGGAAATAAACGTACTACAAACTTTTTGTAGGAACAGTGAAAGGTTTCATACAAGTAATGCCTATATTGGCAACGAGGCGCCACTCCAAATTCTTTACCACGGGTTTCGTAAGCAACATACAGTTTTCGTGTACTCTCGGGAAATCGTTTTCTTCGACATGATTCTTTCACAGTGCGTCGGCGGTATTCGCTTAGACCAGTCGTCAGCTTCTTTCGTTCAAGTAAGTTAGCTAGAGGGCTTAGCATGGTCATGCTATTGTGTTTGATTCGCGCATATCAAATTTCAAGTATTGTTTGTGTTACTCATCAAACTGTGTTCCCACATTGTGTATCCCCCTATGTATTTTTACCAAATTTTGCCGTGAAAATAACATTTGAAAATACCGCATTTGTATTATCAATCTGACCTTTCCTGCGTTTGTTCCGTGCAGCGTATTTATTGTGTTTGGTTAGGAGTTTTTCTTTGTCTGCATATTTACATTTGGTTTTGATAAGGTATACTGCTGCCATCAGGCCGATGCTCTAATATGCTTGCACCAAAACGGTACTGTCAGTCTACACTACTGCCTATCTGCGTTCAAACCTCCCCCTATGGAGGAGGCGTTTTCGCACGCGCCTACCGACCTTAAATACCACTTCCTATGTGAATCGAAGTCTCTGCGACGAGGTAGAAACCTTAGTGTTGTCGCTATGACTGTCGATCCTAGCACTGAGTTGACAGTCACGGTTGCGACTTCGGACGGTCGTTTGCAGGTGAGTTAGACGTTTCATACTGTGCTGATTCGATGTTATCACCGATATAAATTCATATTTTTGGTACCAAGTTTCTCTCAATTGAATCCGACGCTCCTTCGAAAGATGGTTGGCCACAATGGACACTTATGGACATGGTGAAGGCTTTGAATCTTGAAGAAATGTGGGTCTTTCTATCACATTTATTGACATTTTCAGAAAGACTTTAACTGCAAATCTGCACACAGTTATGAAATGGCTTTATGACCCGTCCTACATTCAAACTTCATTTTATGTGTCGAATAATTTAGTTGGGAGATTGCTCGACAATTTTCTGGCTATTTTACACTTCTTTAATTGTATGCTTTAAACTAACTTGTTCTTATTCACCCCGGGTTCTGCGACATCTAACGTTTCCATTACTTCTTTATTTGCGGTCCTCTCATTATCCATTAATTTTTACGCTTATTCAGATCACTGTTTTACATTTGTCCTCGTAGATAATTTAGTGCTCCTGAAGCAAATATGTCCTTATACAAAAGTATGCTAATTTAAACTCCATGACCCTACCTAGGTGATGTTCGATCACAGAACAAATCAATTCAAGCTTTGAAGAGTTACTATAACTACTACCAACTGAATTTGGTCTTTGTATGTGGTTTATGATATGCAATTTTCAAAATCGGTCCACCAATAGTCCATCAAGTTTTATCAGAAGTGATCGTTATCGCTGTTTCATTTATCTCAGCAAAAGTGGTACAACTCTGCGTTTTCGGTTCACTGGCTTCTACTGCGGGGGATCTCCTTCCCCAACGGTTTGTTGCGCATGTCCACCCCACTTTTTGCTTCCTTTTGCCGCCAAGATCAAGCACGATTCACTCGTTGCCGTGGGAACTACACGCGGCACTGTTCAGGTTAGAGCTCTAGAGCCCTTTTCATCTTGCCTTTACTTATTTCTAACGTGTGTAACAAAATGCGAATCCTGCCATCAGCATATCTACCTGCTGTCGCCTTTCATGTATCTATTCAACGAACAATATTCAATTATTTTTCTGTCTGTTTCATGTAATTTTTGGCATTACATGTAAATTCAATTTTTCGCGCTTACAAGCATAGTTTGAAGCGCAGTTTGTTGAACCTCATATCTTGACACCAAGTTTGAGTTGGCTAGCTTTGAACAACGTTTCGATCCCATGATTTCTGTAATGAATGTTATGAAAGTAATATTTGCTTTTGTGCATAATGTAACATGACTTTGAACAGAGCTTCGTCCCTTGTTGGCATGTTTATCTAGATGGCTGAATTACTCACCCAACGTGCTTTTATATGCAAATCCAAACAATCTTCCATTCCATGTCACAACCATGAATTTTGGATTTAGCTCATGGCATTTTTTACCGATTTTTCATCTGGAAATGACCAGAGAATTCAGTGGATGAGTGGTATTGATTTACTACTATACTCGCGCTTGTAGCAGTCCCAGCTGCTCCAGAAAACTCACCATTACGGTCAAATATTTCTTTTTTACTGATTTTCCATTAAATAACCAAACAACTTAGTATCTTAAATTGGACTTATATCCTCTTCTACCCGCCTGATTGTTTTTAGACCTATTATTGTTCTCCAAAAGTCGTACTATTCAAAATACTCATCTATAAACAATCTATTTTGGGTTGTTGCGGCACCATAAATCAGCTTATGCTCTGATGCATGGCTTTGGCTCTGCATTACACCTCTGTCATCCCTTTTTGGTGTAGATCTGGGACCTATGCACAACCAAAATGTGGCGAGAGTATCTTTTGGTCAACGGGCCCGTCTATGGTCTGGCCTGGGGTATACTCCGTGGGGAGGCAGGAAGCGGTTTGATTCTCTTCGTGCACAGCCACCAGACCTCCGAGAGCTCCAGCGGCGGCAGCGGTAGTAGTGGCACAGCTCAGGAACCCGTCAAGCCGGCGCTTAGCGTCCACAACACCGTGGTGCGCATCGAACTTGAGACAGGTCGACAGCAGCTAGTGCTTACACAAAGCGCCGATATCAAGGAGCTGCACCTCTTTAAACTGGCCATGCAGAAACCGGTCTCCGCGATCAAACCAAGCAAGTGGCTGAACGAGGCCTCGAAGATGACCAATTTCGCCACTGCCAATGTCACACCGATTCGATCCTTAAATATTAGCAATTTCGGGTACTAACTTCATTCATGCATTTTTCGGTCTATTGTTGCGCTTTAGTTCTACGTCAAAACGACTCGTAGCATTTGCCCCTCTGATCTAGCTACTTTCCGTACACTTATTGAAATCGTGACTACGTGGGCTCATAAGTACGCACATCTCCACTCGTAGGTTGGTTTAAGCTTATCATCCCAAATGGTGCTAGTTAACTCGTTTCACTCTCTCGAATGTCCTGTAAATGGCTCGTTAGAAGTGTTTAAAACAAGGACGTAGACTTCCATGGATTGCCTATGATCAACACTACAATGCGATTTTTAGCACACTTGGTTTTGCTTTGAAGTAAACAATATATATTTTTGAATCTCGCAATCTTGTTATAAATAGTAGGTAACGTCTTTGGTGCTTTAGAGTGCATGATTTTAATTATTTGTTTTCTCTTACTAGACAATACCTCGCGATTCTTTATGAAAATTGGCCCCTGGAGATCTGGGATGCTCAGAGATTAGTTCTTTTGAAGTCTTTCTCACTCCAGGGTTCCAGACCCGTAGCCCTGGTATGATATCAACTTTGTTTTCACATTTTCAAATAAACATCAATTTGATTGCGCGATTGAGGTTGTTATTTTAGACCTGGTCCAACGCCAGCCTTTCAAGCTCTGCATCCTCCCCTCAAAGGTGAATAATATTTTTATTCACGTTTTATGTCACATTATAGTAACAACAAAAAAAATCATCACATGCGTTGGAAATCATTACAATAGCAAACTTTTGTAAATCTTTGTGTGTTTGCATTGGAAAACTAGATGTGCCTCCATTTGGATGTGGCACTTCAGATCGATGTAACTTAATTTTATGCATATAATAGGCATTTAAAATAACCAAGTCATTTTTTCTATATTTCCCTCTTGTCTAGCTTATTATTTTCGTAACGTAATGCGCTTAAACGGTGGTATTTGTGCCTCGTATGATAACAATAAATATTCATGTGTTTCGTAATTTACTTCAAAGTCTTTTAATGCAGTAACGTTATTTAATGTTGCAATGCACGGATATCTTGTAATACTATTTTAAAAGTGTACGCCATATTTGATTGTGTTAATATTTCCTTTTTCTGGGCTCCAATAATCCCAACTCTTTCGTCAAGTTTGCGTTTTCATCTTACGAGCAGCGATTTAAACCTTGTCATAAAAGTTTAACGGATTTCGTAAGCTTTTACAGTTCTTGCTGGAAAGGACTTGGTTGCATTGATTTACAGCAACACTGTCGGATTGAAATCGTCAGCACTGTCGGGAGATTCAAATGTAGAAGATTTTTACATGCGTGAGACATTTATCCTATGCACTTCACCTCTGAGTCTGAAACTCTTTACTGTGGAGGGCTTCAATGTGGATACCATGCCCATCTCCAACACGATGTAAGTCTCATCCTTTTTGTATTGGTGATAAGAGCTTTCTAATGATCTTAGTAACAATTTTCATCTCACGAAAGTAAAACCGTAAAGTAGAATGACCCATCTAATTTTTTGATCCCTATCTTAAACCTTCTAGCTCTATTTATGCTGTGATTCGACAACAATAGGTCCCTAAAACGGATCCCTGACTTCATCGTATACTTAAGGATCACCACTAAAAACATTGAAGCGTACAGTAAGAACTACTTCAAGTGCGTTGCTTAGCTTACATCTTCGTGTTTTATCATTCACCTTACTAAAGTTGGTATTAGTGTTTATCATGTTTCATTCCCTCAAATCGCACATGCTTTCACAGACATTCCCACACCGTTTCAGAAATTAATTGAGCTAACATGTTAAGTTTGATTGAAGATGAACAGGTCAATGGATTTTTATCCACAATTGTCTTGTCCAATGCATTTATTTCTTTCAGTGTTCAAAGCCTGCCCAGGAACATTGGAAATTGCATAACTTGTGCGTCTTGGCGCTCGCCTATGATTGCCTTCGGCATGGCTGATGGCTGTGTAGCAGTTAGAAACTTACAAACTAAGAAGACTATTACGAGATATATGACTGGTTTCGTTTCTGACTCCAACTTTACTAATAACCCATCCACCTCTACGCCAGATTCTATAGGATTCTCAAGCGCTATTAAGGGAGAACTTATCGGTGCAAATGGCGAAATTTTTGCATTGAGCTATGTCAAAAAGGTGGAATTTTTATTTTCTGGTGGATTATTTTGTCACCTACTCACGTTATGCAACGGTGGCGTCGCGGTTTGGGAGCCTGAACAGGTACTTTCTTTTTGTGGATCTTTTGGAACACCTTGACTTTAGATGGTGCTGTTGTGTGCAACACGCTTCGGTGCCAGCCCGCAGAAGATCCCCATTGATGCCACATGGACTAGCGCTCCCCTCTCGCCACCTAATTCCGCCCCCACTTGCGTCCTCCTCGCTCCCGACGGCTCCCTCCTCTTGGCCACTGCCGGCTCCAGTGCAGACAGTCGGTCGATAATCGAGTCGAGGGTGGAATGTGGAGGGGCAAGTGCAGGGCAGGACAGTTCCCCCGAGGACCCTGACGAGTACCTGGCGGTCTCACAGTTCGAGTTCAACAGTTCACTCTCAACTGATGTTGAGAGTAATGGTATGTACCCACTTTTCTATGCTTCTCCCACTTTGTGGCGTCGTTTTTCCTTCTAGGTTTGTGCTTTTTTTGCACGAACTTGCTGTCAGTTCCATTGAAAGCATGGCATAAGGAAGTATACAGGCTGTCTTTGTTTTTTCAATCCCCATTCCTATCTTGGTTTTTTTTTCGCTTTAAATGAGTTGCTTCTCATGCATATGCATATATGTAGTGCACATAAGGTCCCATGCAAGGCCTGGTGTAATGTTTTTTATCGAAAAGTGACTTGCTAATTCAGTTGTCACCCTTTGGGTAAAACCTTAATGTGAGTAAGGAGCATCATGATGAAATTTTGCATTTTCTTCTACGTTAAGGCACAAGGCCAGTGGCGTCATATTTATTTGCACCGACTATTAATTTTGTTTTTGTGAGTAGAGAATGTGTG